GAGCTTCGTTCCGTCCCATGGACCTGGCTCCTCCGGGGACCTCCCTGGGTGGACTCGCTCGGGATGCGCCCTTGGGCGTCTGGCTTCTCTCACTTCCACCTCCGTTTGTAAGGGCGCACTTGATGGGTATAGAACGCCGAGTTGGTAATTTTCCCTGCCCGCTTGAAAGGTGTCATCTGGCTTCCATCCCTTCTGCTGACAAGTCTGCCATCGGGATATCGCATCATCGCCCCCCCCTTCACACGCCGGCGACGTTTCCGGGGCCTCCGGTCTTCGGCGCCGTCACTCTGAGGGGCCTGCTGCCCCTTTCCTCTCCAGCGCGGGTGCAAAGAGGGGCTCGGATCTGTGGCCCGATGTCTTCCATCGTTTCTGGAAAATTACCCGCCCCCAAGTCTTCAGGATTATTCGTTCTCCGCCGTGTCTCCTCTCCTCGGGGATCGCTCGCGTGTGAGAGCTTTTGACTGTATCCCACAGGATGCATTTTCTCTCTCTGTTTAATTCTACTTTCTCTCCGCACCCAACGTGGCGATTTAAGTCCAGTTCACACGTGTTGTTTCCTTCAACGCCCCCCCCCACCGCCGGGCCCGTCTATTGAATCCTCGGTCGGCAGTATTGGCCTTCGTGTTCTAGGGTTTCCTTGTCATAATTTTTCATAGAGGTTGCATTTCTCTGGTGAGGCTCTCCATCTCTTCGTCTGTTTCCTTGAGCCTGTTCAGCGTGGCTATGGGAGACCTCGCCAAGCGGTGCTGAAGGAAGCACCGCCACCTGCTTGCTGGGAGCCTGTGGCCAGCATCCCGGCCGCTCAGCGGGGGCCCCCTTGGGCCCGTCCAGGCGGCGGCGTGGTCTCAGCCGGCCTCGCGCCTCCGAAGCTGTCGGGCTGCCTGCGGGAGCCTCAGGTCCCCTCCACGTGGCCTGTCCGGCGGCCCGGCCCAGACGCCAGAACCCGCGCTGGGTCCGTGTGCGGGGACTTCCTTTCGGCCTTTCTTCTGCGCAGATCTATTTCGCTGGCCGTGTTGTCTTTGTCACTGGCGTTTCTAGAAGGAACTTTAGAAGCATAACAGGGTGGCTCAGGTAACCATCCCCGGCCAACCGTCCCGCGGCCCCCTCCTTTCTCGGGTGCGCGCCTGTAGTGGGGCCCTAGAGCCTCGCAGCCGAGAGGGGCCTTAGGCATGTCTGTTCGTAGCCCTCCCGTTGTACTCGGACCCTGACCCCCAAGGTAGAAAGCAGCCTGTGAGTTAGGGGGCAGCGATTGTGAACCCAGGACCCCGAGGTCCACCCCACTTCTGAGTGACAAACAAGCTGAGAGTCCCTCTGGGGTCACCCTGCTGATTGGAAGCCCCCCGCCCGCCTGTCCTCCCCACCCCGTGGGCCATGGCCACGAAGACCCCGTCCCGGGGGGCTGAGCATTCGCCCCGAGTCTAGAAGGCCCGCGTGCAGCAGGGTCATGTGGGAAGGGCCACGGCCCCATCCCAGGGTGGCACTGACGCCTCTCTCTGTCCCCACGCAGGCTGCGGGAGCACCACCGGGCCACCATCCGGGTCATTCGGCGCATGCAGTACTTCGTGGCCAAGAAGAAATTCCAGGTGAGTCCTGCGCTGGGCCCCTGCCCTTGCCCAGAAGCCCCTCCTCCTCCCGCGTGGAGCCTGGGGGTCCTCCAAGCGGTGACCCACACTTACAGGGAGAGTGGGGTCTCCTCGGCCCAGGGGCTGGGGCCTGTGGGCTTCCATGCACTGTCACCACTTTCTTCCTGGGGGAAAGACAAAGGGGTATGGCTGGTGCCAGGAGGTTTGCCCAGCAATGTTTGGGGGGGGGCATCTGGATTACGTGTCCACCCCTTCCTGGGGCCTATGCTGCTCTGGCAGTGCCCACGGAGGGGCACTGGGGGCTTCCTGGCATCACCAGCACCCTCCCAGGCAGGAGCCCCCCTCTGGGGTCAGATCTGGGCAGGACTGTCCCCCAAGGGCAAAAAGGCCCTGAGAGCAGCCCAGTGGGGGCAGCTAACACTGCGGGTATCACCTGGGGGGCCAGAGGCTCAGTGGGGACTCGTCTAGGACCAGGATGGTCCCTGGCCTGAGAAGCTGGGCACTGTGGCTCCAGAGAAGGTCCCTGCAGGACACAGCCTGAGCACAGTGGGGATACGAGGGGCTTGCAGGGTGGACCCAGCTTCCTGGAGGCTGCGTCTAGGGCCTGGGGGCACTTAGAGTTTGAGGACCTCGGAGGCCCCTGGCTCAGAGGTGACATGGGTGGGGGGCTTCCAGCTCTGAGCAGAGATGTCCTTGGCAGACGGTGCCCCCGACCTGGAGCAGACCTGGGCACTGGTGTGGGCTCTGTCACTGGCCTGCTGGCATCCGTGGCAGCCTTGCACCCCCTTCCCTGCTGAGAGTCCCCTTTTCTGCCCCAGAAGACAGTCCAGGGTCCAACAAGTAACTCGGGAGGGGGGCTCCGCAGAAGGCCAGGCCACCCCCTACTCCCCGGCCCTCTGCCCTCCCCGTGCACTGGACCCTAAGGGCCTCGCATAAACCAGGCGGGCCCTGCAAGCAGAGGCGCTCCTGGGAGCCTCCCAGTTGCCCTAATGGTGTACAGAGGCTCTTGGGCACGGAGGGGCCTGGGCTGCCTCTGGCCTCCTCGGTTGGGCCTTGTTTGCTGGGCAATGTGGAGGCCTCCAGGTAGGAGGGACCCACCAAGGTGGGGGAAGCGAATGGAGCCCCTGGCAGTGAGGAGCTCTGTGGGGCTCCAGGGGCAGCCTCCCACCTGGGCCCAGCTGTCAGGGATGCCTTCCCCCCTCCATGCCAGCCTGTCTGTCTGTCTGTCTGCCTGCACCCCACCCCCTCCAGCGCAG